CCCCCCCCCCCCGCCCCGGCCGCTCTCTCTGTTTGTCAATCTCTTTCACTCTTTCACTCTTTTGCTCACTCACTCCTCCTTTCCTCCGCCCCTTCTTGTTTTCGGTTGCGTAATCTTTATAGCATACAACGTATAGTGTATATTAATGTTTTATTTCTGATATAAGAAGCATCATAATAATTATGTATAAATTGATGCGCTAACAGAACGAACTTGTAAGAGAGATTAGAAGTTAGCTCTTTCAGACGTATTAAGATATTTTAGATAGATTAGTAGAAATTTTTAGGAACGAAAGGGAATTATAAAGCGAGGAATTGCAAGTGTGATTAACGTAATTGTTGTTACCTGACGATTGAAACTGTTTCCGTTGAGATCAGCATTAACTCGGAATATGAATAAATAAGCAATACGATTAAGTAAATCTTATTTATCCGAAAAGGTAGAATATAGTTATTGGCTATAGGAATTGATATCCTTATCAAATCATTTGAAATCATTCGGCAATTTTGTTCTTAGAAAGATAAGGGCACTAGAAGGAAACACGGTTTATTTTCCGAAAGAAATGTGACATTACGATTAATAGGCAAATAAGATAACTTTTAGTTTGTTTGAAATTAGACACGAAGGTCGAAAGTTGCTTACATTTAAGTAAACATTAATTTTGTTTATATTCTTTTATCGACGTTTCTCATACGCGCGTATGTATATTGAAATTGTTTCATAGTTAGCTGGAATAAATTTAATTTTTGCAAATCGTTTCATTTAACAAACATATAAATGTTGTTTTTTGCTTGGTGAAATAAAACAGCTTAAAAATTTGTCTTTATTTTGGTTAGAAATGGTTTTCTGCTCGTTATAAGGTGTTTTGGTTACGAAACGACCGATCAATGGAAAGGTTTAATAGTTGTTCAGTGGTAGAAGTAAGAAAAAGTATATTTACCGTAACGAAGTTGGTAAGATCGTAAAGATGGAACGAAAATGTTGCGTGGCGTTGTGCTGTTACGGTTATCGACGGAAGAAATTGTTCTCGTATCGCGCGCAACCTTTGAATTCTATAGTTACCATGAATGTATTATTTTGCAATGGATCAACGATCTTGAACTCTGAACTGGATCGACGAAAAGTGATTGGAGCTTTCGCTCGGGGGTCGTTCTCGATTCGAAAAGACACGCTTCGAATAAGTCTTAATATTTTACGTAAAATCTGCAAGAGACGTAGGAAGAAGAAAGATAGAAAGGTGAAAAGTGTTTTAGTAAAGAGGGGAACGAGACAAAGTTAGTTTATCGCGAAAGTGTGTCGGATCCCCTGATATTTTCAAGAAGCATAAAATGATACTACAGGGTACGGATGATAAGGTAGCTCGTTGTAGTGATCACGGGAACTAGACTGCTTATATATAAGCGGCGCACGTTATTTTTCTAGTTAGAGTTTCGTTCCAGTGCTCTTCCGCTAAATATTCTGGATACCGAGAGACCGAGAAACTGCTCTTGCTTTAATCGTGTCGTTCATTCGCTGCTATAATTGCACTTCATTTTTCCGCCATGGCCAATGACAATCTCACCGCTATTCTTTACGGTATCAACGATATTAGGCTGGTTAGTATCGCAATATTATAATATAACAAATAAATTATATCCCGATTACGTTCTCTTTCTCTCTTTTCCTCTTGAGCTATAAATTTCGATAGTGAATGTTTTTGACGTATCGCGAACCGTTTATGAGATAAATTTTCAAATTGAGAATGTCCTTGGAATTATAAAGCTAATGGCTATAAACAAATTTTCTTTCATAGAAACAAGGGTAAATAACGTTTAGCTGTCGATAACTTTATCGTGCACTCGCGATTCGTTTACATAAACGTTTAATGGAATATTTCTGGAAACGTTTTCAGATGTCTTTTATATTCATTCTAGCTAGAGATAACGGCAATGTCTATCCTCGTAGTTTACCATTAGATATTTCAAGTTTGGCAATTCCGACAAAGCCGTGAAATAAAGAGTAGAAGGAAGAATTAAGAAAAGGAAAAGGAAAAGGAAGAGTTACGTTGCTTCGATTAAACTATTATCTCGATTTAACTTCATTTCTTTATCTGCGTTTCTTATCGTTCGAAACGGTTATTGCCGTTAGTACAATTAACATTTGGAACGGATATTGTCATAAATGATACAATCGTTTACGCACGTACAAGGACAAGATACACCATTTTCGCCATTATTCGTTCGTTATTTGTGATTATCCGCGTGATCAATCTATGCCGTGTTACGTTACGTGCACGTAGAACAAGCTCTCCGGCGTAGCACTTGTATCGTTGTTGTGTCGCTATGTCGTTTCTCTTTCGAAACGAAATCTTACGGTATTTCAAATCGAACACGTTCGTTTCGCTTTTATTTCTATTCCTCGTATTATGCTTATCGCGTTGCGAAACGCGACGTTTCCTATAAAATAGGAAGCGGTACTCGTGTACTTTTATTAGTAAATAAATGATTATCGATCAAAGATACGACTTCTTTTTGAACTTTATCCAATATTTGATTAATTTTCAACGTTCAAGCTTGCGAATATAAACGAATATATCATAAATATGCTCCCATGGTACACGATTGACTTCAGTTTATGTTCTCTTCGATTACAGGAACAAACTCCAGTTGAGGAACCTGATGAAAATGGTAAGTTCCTTTCGATCTTGTTTAATCACCGTCTAAGAGACGGAGCATATCGTTTAATTTTTAGAACGGTTGACAATTTTTCAGCTACTTTAAATTTTCATATTTCTTTTTCAGAGGTACTCATACAGATGGGTTGCGTTGGAATTTGTGGTTCCGATGTTCATTACTGGGTGAATGGTAGAATAGGTGACTTTGTGGTGCGGCAACCTATGATCATAGGTCACGAGGCTTCCGGAGTGGTCGTCAAGCTTGGTAAAAATGTGACAAATTTGAAGGTACGTGCTTATAGATTATTTAAAAAATAACATTATGACACGAAATCGAGAAGATATCATTTCCGAGGTTGCGATGCATGCATGCATGTATCGATGTCACAATCACAGTCGTATTATATTCCTGGTAACAAATAAATCTTCGTAAAATTAAAGATTCTTTACGATACATGCTATTCTCATAGAAGTAAGCACGAACCGTATATTTCGAAAATATACATACCTATCGGATGCCTATCACGGCTAGTATTTCGTGACTCTGAAATGTATGTATGTACAGTTTGTTTTTGTTCATCGTTGCTTGTATACACGTGTAGCGACTAGTTTGCTAGATTTAGGAATCTAGCGACACGAGAGAGCACAGCTACTTGCTTTTTAACGCTTAACAAATGTTTGACTTAGGTTGGCGATCGAGTGGCTATCGAACCTGGAGTGTCGTGTCGATTGTGTAACTATTGTAAAGAAGGCCGTTATAATTTGTGCAAGAAAATGGTGTTTTGCGCTACTCCTCCGGTACACGGAAATTTAAGGCGTTTCTATAAACACGCTGCCGACTTTTGTTTCAAGTAAGTTAATACCATTTCTTTTTTCTTACCTCTTTGCATTGCATTTTGTCATCCGATTCGACGCGAGTATGTATGTATATCCTATATATATATATATATAGTTGCACGATAACTGTCCTCTTCTTTCCTCTCTCTCTCTCCCTCTATCTTTGCCGTGTTCGCTCGATTAGATTCAATATAGAGACGACAATGTTTGTAATTGTGAAAATTGTTGGCTTACATTGCAGATTACCAGAGCATGTGTCGTTGCCTGAAGGAGCGTTATTGGAGCCGTTATCAGTCGGTGTACATGCTTGTAAGCGAGCGAACATTGGTATTGGTTCGAAGGTTTTAATTTTGGGAGCAGGACCGATCGGCCTGGTATCGTTGTTGGTAGCGAAAGCAATGGGAGCCAACAAAATCGTTATAACCGGTAGGTTTTCTCTTGGTGAAACATTTGCCATCTATAATTAAGGTTGAATCTTCTGCTTCTTAGATTTGGAACAAAATAGATTGGATCTGGCGAAGAAACTTGGTGCTAATGTAACATTGTTGATGAAGAAAAAAGATACGGAAGCGGAGACTGTACAGAGAGTTATCGAGGCTATGGGAGAAGAACCTGACAAGACGATCGATGCGTGTGGAGCAGAGTCTACGATTCGCTTAGCGATTCTCGTAAGTCTTCCTTCTCGTTTCTACATCTTTCTTCGTTTTTATCGATCGAATTCGTTGCTATCGATTGCAAGTGGTAATGGTATAACGGTAGGAAAGAATTTCGAGTAAAATATACCGTGAATTTTTAGGCGACCAGACCCGGTGGAGTAGCTGTTTTGGTAGGCATGGGTGCACCGGAGGTGAAAATCCCGTTAATTCATGCACTAGTAAGGGAAGTCGATATCAGAGGCGTATTTCGATACGCAAACGAGTACGTATTTTTTATTTTTCCTGATAATTGCATTTGCTGCTACAATTATTTATATACCGCATACTTCGTATCGTCTGACCATGGGTTACCTTGAGCTAGCATAATCGTGATTTCTTGCGATGCACGATACCAGGATTATTGCGTCTTATCGTACGCATCATATCGGGAAAAATCGAATTAACGTTTCGAATGGAAAATAATTTGCCGTTATCGTTGCCGAAGATAAGGAAAATGGTGAAAGTTTGCAACCGCGTTTTTCGATAGAAAGATTACGTCTTAGACTTACACGTCTAATTGGACTACTGTGTTTTAAAGAGGAATTAGGAAGGGAGAGATATTATATCGCATTTTCATATCTGTATCCGAACTATCTTGTCTCTATTAACGACGGTACGATGAAAAGGTGCAGAGGTATAAAGGTGTGCAAAGCTACGTAAACGGCTCAAACAGAGACACGTATAATTTCCATGTTGTAACGTAATATTGTTACATATTGTTACATATTAAGTAATGAAATTTTGCATTGTATCTTTTTAGCTATGCCGATGCGCTGGAACTTTTGGCATCCCGAAAAATAGACGTGAAACCGTTGATTACTCATAATTATAAAATAGAGGAAACCGTTAAAGCTTTCGAGACGTCCAAGTCGGGACAAGGAAACGTGGTGAAAGTTATGATACACTGTAATTAGAAAAGTTTACGACGAACGAAAGGGAATTAGATTTGAACGTCGTGACAAGGTCTAGTAATCGTGAAACGTGTGCGAATTGAGCAGGCGATGATTCGAAATTTAATCGTGAGCCATATTATCGTTATTGTTAACGTTGAACCTATTGTTTTCACGAAGTTTAATAATGCTTTTATGCGTTTTACACGACACTGTTATTGAGCGCATTTGAATTATTGACAAAACATAAATGAAATGTATCTGAACTTCCGAGGCTAATGGTAATTAGCTCACGCTAATTATGCATATTTAGTTACACTGTGTATATATATACCTGTACTTTTGTTTTTTCTTGTTTTTAATTAGTGACATATATTGGTTCGTGTTATGCTAAACGATATTGCGTTGTACGCGGCAGGCACGCGTAGGCATGAACCATTCCCTTTTTTACAGATTTATTTTAACGCTGGATAATCAATGTATATAAGTATGTAGCGTATGTTACGAAATAGCTGTCCGCAACGCAGGCTAGGATAGAAAATTTTTCTCATTTTTACGATTCTGTTATGTCGATGTACTCTAATTGGTGTAGTTGTAACACGAGGATCCTACGTGCAAAATCGTTCGTGCGATCATCGTCCCGTTGTAAATCTTATAAAGGCAAGATAAATAAAAATTCCAGTAGTTATCGCTTCGATGCCTTCTCGTGTGATTTATCATTGACGATTAATGCAGATTTTTCACCCGTGTAATTTAATAACGACAAGTTGCCAATATGCGAACTATAGAAAGGATAACTCGCGTTATAATATGTACATTGTACATACGCGTATTTTTACATTTCTCGATAAACGAATAATCGTGTCCGAATTGGATATTTGTTGTATGATATTCAGTCATTGTTCATTATCAATATTACCATTTATGCTATTTATACATAACGTGCGCATTGAAAATGGAGATCAACAGACACAGAGAGAGAGAGAGAGAGAGAGAAAGAGAGAGAGAGAGGGGTGGGGGGGGGGGGGGGGGGGGGGGGAGGTAGAGAGAGCGAGGATTCCGGAGTACTTTACCCGGGATAAGCCTATCGATTGCATACGTTTTGCAGAGTGAATCGAATAAACGTAACGTTCCAACGTACCGGTTAAGATTTCTGCGCAAAGAGATTGACAAAAATTTGACGCGTCGACATGTTGGAAATAAAATAGTAGAGTGACGCAGGAGATGGAAGTTACGTCGAGCGTTGGCTTCCAATGGTTTTCAATGAATCAGAAGTATTCGCGAGGAGAAACTTAACCATCTGTGATATTGTCTGCCAACAATGACACTGCATGACTTCTTCTATTAGCCTTCTACGTTACCCGAGTGGTACTTGGAACGTGCAGTCTGTTTTAGAGTTTTTGATCTTTTGTCCAGACACGCAACACGTAGTTCCTACCTAGCTAATATGCCGCTGTTTTATCTCGAGTTCGAATTCTATTTCGTTCTCTACTCGTCGCAGGGTGTACTTGCGTACCTTGTACCCTGTGTATCCTCGACAGAACTGGAGACGAGGCAAGATGTTACGAGTCGAAATGGTTGACGACGAGACGCAGTTATGTGAAAAGCAGAGCGAAACCCATCATCTCTCGGCGTGGTGCAACAACCTGTGCCGGTCTCTATAGTTTCTCGATTCGCATCACTTCGAAGCGATGATCGATGAAACGTTTGCCGAAATTGTCCGAAAGGATCGTAGTCCTTAGAGAGGAGTCGCATTCGCGAGACCGATCTCGGTGGTTAGTTGTCGAGGGAGGTTGTATCTAATTTACTGGAAGCAGCAAGTTGGTAGAAAGTTTGGAGGGATGTGAAGAGAATAACGAAGGCGATTAGTATCGACGGGATGGTTTGAAGGAGGATTTGCGATCGAGAGGTGGAATAGGAGGAGGGAGAGGCAGAGAGGAGAGCAGATCGTTTGAAAAAGCATCGAGTGGTACATTATTGGGGACGGTGGATAATTAATTAGAGTGGCAGCCGGGAATGTAAACAGAGATTCAGTGGGACGAGACGAAGCGGTAGATTTGGTTCGGCCGACTGGAAGATTTCGGTGTATTCGGTTCGGTCTTTGGGGCAAACATAATCGACGTCGTTGCGTTTCCCTCGAGAATCGGCGTCAACGTGGATGTCGACATGGCGGTGAATGGCGACGGAATGGACGCGCGAATAGCGGTGGTTCTCTTAGTCCAGCAGAATCGAAAAGATTGTCTCTCCTCTGCCGAAACAATCCTACCAATGATCCTGCGATTTCTCGTGTATTTACATTCTATGGTTGGCCATTTTCCATCCCACGTGTATATACACGTACCTACGAACCTGTGTAGTATATCCGAGTACGCTAATAGAACAGATCGATTCGTCTATCCTCGGAGAATTTTCTGTAAACGTTAATTGTTTGCGAGGATGATCCGTGACACGCGGTGCGTTAGATTCGATCAGTGTCCGCTTATTAATTAGCAAAAGTAGATACGCGTGTGCAAATGGTCGGTTGTGTTCGTTTGCGTCGGGACATGGAAAACGGAATGGGATTTGAAAGCGATAGCGGAGGAAGAGAGGAAAGGCGAAAAAGGGATAAACAGAATATGGCAAGGAGGTAACGAAAATCTTTTTCTCACGTTCGATTTACGCGCGATTTACGCGCACGTGCTTTACATGCGCGGAGCGAGTTGGATGATCGATTCGATGCTCTCCGATTTCTAACGAAAGATTTACGGTTTCGAATTAATCGAAGGTTCTCGGAGGAAATTTGCTCGGACAGAAATTCGAACGGATTGCAGCGTGGCGTTTTCGATCGATAGGAATATATTATACGAAACGAAGCTGGACAGTTTACATGGTGCACGGGTCGGTAAACCGCAAGTAGATTCGCTTTCACTCTGCGGTTTTCTCGCGCAGCGATACACGCGCATACGAGAAAGCACGATATTTTGCTTTAGAAGCGGAAGGATATATGGAGGGTGTATGGTGGATGTCACGGAAGTGACGCGATACGTCTTCCCGTTCCTGACTTGCGGTCTCCCGATCACGACTCTTCGCTTAACCGATCGTATTCGAACGGCTACGACTCTACGATCGGCTGCGAAAGGTCTTTTCGAAATTCCCCTTTCTTTATAACGATTTTCCCTCAAATTTTCCTCCTCGTCCAACCGATCTCTCTTTCGCCTCTACCGTTCTGCACCGTTTCTATCGCGTATCTATCTTAGGCAAACGCGAGATATTAGATCTCTAATTAACATTACAGAATGTCAAAAAACATTCTCTTTTCGTCCCAACTCGATATATTCTCTGATTATTAATTAGCCATTGCACCCGCTTGGTCGAGGAACCTTGAATCGAGCAACGAGGATTTCAACGATCGGTTAGTACATATACCATACTATATGCGCGTAGTACCTGAAAATATGGAGAGATTACAAGGTCGCGAACGTAGTTACGCGAGGAAACGAGGAAGAGGGACGATAAATGTCGGGAAAAAGGAGCCGTGCTCGGACATCTTGGACGTCCATTTTGATATTCGACTGGAACAAGATTTGACAGAAACTTATGGTTCGACCGATGCTCGATGTTGCAGGTTGAACGTGAAAATGATTGGCGGAGCGCAGGATCGAGACGCGCGGTGTATCGGAATCGCGTTAATGGAATCAGTTGGAAGGTAATCCATTTTCCCAAGACAAGAAGCAGGTCGCTGCGATGCGCTGGTAATTGCGTTAGAGTAATTACGTTACGTACGCGCGAGGAGCACTTTTCCAAATAATAACAGCAAATGGCACGATACGCGAACTCTCGAACCGTTGGATGTTGTTGGGCCGGAAAATTCGGAAATTCGGAAATTCGAAAATTCGAATAACGCAGAGAAGGAGGGAGAGGAGCGGGTAAAAATTGTAGTCGAGACGATTACGAGGTATACGAGATAGGAGTAATCCGGCGAGTAGCGAGGATACGGAGGAAGAATGGAGAAGAAGCGGATGTAAGAGTACGGTTATGGATACCGGCTAGAGTTACGGCTAGGGCCAAGATGGTAGGAAGAACGGTGAACTGGGAAAGGACGAACGGTATGCTGCGAGCGGGAAGCGAAACCCGGAAAAGGTGGAAGGGTGGTAGTTATCTCGCGAGTTCGCGTGGGAGGTCACATTGGATAGAGGGTAGGTGAGGCGACCCACGACCTTCGACCAATCACGATTCTAGCTTGAAACTGGGCTGCCAATGGGAACGCTGTCGGGGTGACCTCGTGCGCGATTCTCCTTGCACTTTATCACCGAGAAACCACCCCCATGAAGTCGAAAGGTGGAAGCTCACCTTTCCACGGTCGCACGCGCGAGACGGCGTGGCTCCCCTCGACCGATCCAACCGATTCGATCGACCTTTTACTTTTTCAAAGTCTCGCGTGTGCGCGCGCGCTAGAGAGAGAGAGAGAGAGGGTGGAAATTTTCTTTCTTTGCTTTTTCGTATTCTCGGCGCGATTTCTCGGCGGAAAGGTGGATTACTTGGACGGTTAAGGTGGGACGCGAATGGAGCACGGTGCGGATGAATTCGAGGAATTTATCTGCCGCGTACGAGGTGATTAAGAATCGATAGAGAGCGTCACGTTTCTCGTCCTTCTCTCGAAAGTTTTCTCCAGAAGGTTCTGCCAAGGTACGACCCGACGTTTCATTAGCTCCTTAATGCGTCCGGTATCCTGCAGGTCGTTGTTGCGCTCGGGAAGGATCAACACTTTTTTGCTTCGGAACGGCAACGATGCGTCAGGGATATGGCTGTTATGTGCCGGAGTGACTGATGAACCGTCGGCTAATTACCTCCTCTATGTGCCCCGTAATACGAACGTATTAATAACCTGCATTTATATATCCGTGAAAAATGACCGCTTATCTCGCTTGGCGAACACAAAAGGGTGGTTGCTTGCCATATCTAGAAACGCGTCAAGAATACGAGAATCCCAGTCGGATGATCTCTTTCATGGTAAACGAACGCTCGGTTCCAGAGGCGAACGATACTTTACGGTGATGATTATTTTAATAGTTGGAACTGGAATCGCTGGAAATTCGTTCCGCGATGAATCGAATAACCGTTCGATTCGACTATCGGCAGTTACGCGGTAGTCGATTCGTGGTATTTACTCGGCCGATTCGCGGGAGAAAAGCGTGCTCGGTAGATCCAAAAAAGACGTTTTCGAAGATCAAAGCGTACCGTCCGTGAGCGCGTTCTACTTTGCCTTTGACTAAATAAAAAGCGAGCTTCGCGTTTTTTACAGACGGCTGCGCTTAGAAAGTGACGAGAGATGGAAAGTTGAACGACCACCACCTTGGTCTTAACCGTAATCCCGAAGAGTGACGAGCGTCAAAGCAACGCGGGGATTCTTCAACGACGTTACTACCCTCCTCCTCCTCCTCCTCCTCCTCCTTCCTCACCTTTTCCCTTGCTCTCTCTTCTTTAATCGCGGTCCTATACCTTTCCTCTCGTAAATTTACGGGGAAGGAGAGAAAAAAGAGAGAAAAAGGAGAGAAAAGGGAGAGAAAAAAGGGGGAAAAAAAGGTGGACGTAATGCGACGATCGCGAAGGGTTCCGATAGGCGATTTCTACGTGCATAGATTACGTAGGAGGCGATGGAGCGAGTGGATCGCGTCGACTCGGCGTAGGGTAGTCGCGATGCACGGTAATTCGTAATTCAGTCGATTTTGCTCGAAGCAC